AAAGCCAAAAAGGTAAGTACTCATGTAGCTTATAATTAACTTGGAAGGTCAGTAACAATATGCCAGTACCATAAAGGCACTACCTAAAATGTGGGCTCTACTCTAGTGTGTGTGTGTGTGTGTGTGTGTGTGTGTGTGTGGAGAATTTTAAAGTGAGCTCCAAGCTCTCGCCTGTGATGGACTACAATCTCAATACAAATTGGTCAACTAAATGTGTGATTATAATCCATCAGGGGCGCTTGGAGCAGTGACTACTTTACAACACACACAGGGACCATGGGGAACAAAAATAGCCACCCTTCAGAAGGAAGCATAGTGTCATCAGGAATTCAGAAATTATTTGAGGATATAAAGCCAGGTGTTGCATAAACAAGTTACACATTTTGCCTGCGGTCCGGTGCAATCAAAATGCTGCAAGCACTATTTTGAGCGCACCGTACCACAGGCACAATGTGCCTTGCGATTATGTGCGGCCGATCGCATTGCGACCGAAGGGCGCGGCTACGGTGCCATTCACTTCAATGGCCCTCCTGCAAAAAAAGTGAGCTGACTGCGATGCGTTCTGGACAGAATCGGGCTGGAACGCACTGCATCTGGTGTAAACTAACCCTAAGATTTAACTCCTGAGTTTTTTTTGTTTCTAATCTTGCAAAGGACCATGTTTACTCATGTCAGCTGCGGAAAAGTTAGTGCAAAAACCTGCAAAGGTTTGAGTCATTGGCTTATCTTGTTTGACTTTGCATCCGCAGCAAAATTGTGTGAAATAATGCCACTATTTTTGCATATTGCCACATTGCTTGTGGGTGACTGAACTTTGCAGTTGACATTTTCTCTTTACTCAGTTAAGGTATGGAATCCATTTTTTTTTGTAGTGTTTGTAAGTGGAACACAAAACGAGACTAAAAATTTGGGTTATAAGAATCAAATTTTGTTTTTTCTTATCACACCACACTTAGGCATATAAAGAAGTTTAGACATATTTTGTCATAATAGTCGACAACTTATTCTGGCCCCCCTAAAGCAGTGCATCTAAACCTGTGTAACCTCAGGACCCACAGTTGTCCTTGGTCAATAAGTCCTGGCCCAAGTCGCACTGCAACGCACGTCATCGTGGTATACCTCCAGCCCACCGCTTGTTCTAGGTCAGCGATTCCGTATGTAGTGAAAAAAGTATAACATTGTCCTTGGGGTATTCACCTTCCAGAATAAGTCTGCAGTTTGTTTTTCCCCATTCACACCAGTGAGTTGTACTGCTGAGCACAGAGTTGCCCTGCTGAGCACAGAGTTGGCTCAAATGTTTTGTACATGAAGTAAAAAAAAACAATTAAACCTTGGGTACGTTGTTACAACGCATCACACTGGCCCAACACAATGCACACCAGCATGTGTTATACAGACTATAATGCATGACCGCTCGTGTGATGGGCCCTAACTGGTTCCTGTCAACCTTTCAACATAACATTTAACATGCCTTTTTGTGAATATTTTTTTTTATGCTGAACCTTTAATAAACAGTATATAGACTAGTGACAGTACTTCTTTCTTTCCCTGAGTGTTTTCTTTGTTTCAGACAGTTAAGCTGGAAACTGCAGAGGACACTAGTTGACAGCCAATTCATTTTGCTGATTCATCCATTCTCCAGATGGCTTCAAGCCAGAGCTTGGCTTGCAGATTAAAGTCTGAAAGCTGCAAAGCTGCTGGGACTTGAAGGAATGTTGGTAAATTGTTGCTGTGTGAAGGCAGGCAATAAAAAGAACTTTATTCTAAGTATTCTGGTTTACTTAGGCAGGAATGCCACTTAGTTATCCATGCAGCACTGGCTTTCTGCTGTGCTAACTTGGAGTAATCTGCATGTTTTTTCTTAACCATTGGTGTTAATTATTAATCATTTCGTAAAGCACTTTGCTCACTTTGTAGAACTCTAACAAATTGTGAGTTAAGATTTGTCGCTTGGCTTCAACTGAGAGTTGATGTTTTTGATTGGATTGGGATGAGCCAGTATATTTTACTTGCCCTATTCAACCATATACTCTACAATCTAGCCTTATTCTGGAAAAGATGTTAGCTTAATGTACAGTGTTTAACTGACATCACTTTTTTTTTTTTTGACAATATATGGCATCTGGATAAAACATTTCTCTACAGGGTAAAATAATAAAATGCGTTGTTGAATTCTCCATTGTAGCAGTTTTATTTTCCATTGAATGTTTGTAACGTTCAACTAAACAACCCCCCCCGCCCAAATGTATAACCGTTCCAGCCTAGGAGCCAAGGCCCTGTAATAAGATGCATATAGTAAAGAAAATAATTAGTTATAGATATTACATCCTTTTTTAAATGCAAATGCCATTATAATTTCTTGGGGTGGGTTCCATTTTAATTTTAGTGGAATTAAACTTTTTTTGCTTTATATCTATAGATATATGCAAAAAAAAGTTTTTTTTAAAGTTTTTTTTGTTTTTGTTTTTTGTTTAAAGTTACCAAATAGGTAACTTACCTGCGTCTCAGCCCTTCGCTCCGGTCTGAAGATTTGAAAGTTCTCGAGGGGCTATGAATGATTATGAGGCGGGTGCATACGCAGTAGAGATCTTTGGCTGGGAGAAGAGGGACACAGTGTAAGTCAATGCATGCAGGCAAACATTGTGAGACACAGAAGACACAGCAATCGGCACTAGATCAGAGACCGGCACCAGCGCTGGAGGCACTCATGAAAACTACTGGAAAGATGATTAGATCAAGAA